TAGCCAAGCCAGACTCAAGAGAGTAAAGGAGGAGGCTGGATGACTTGCCATCTATGGCCATTGTATCAATATTTATAGCCTCTCTGTCATTAGGATGGCGATGGCAATCTGCCTAGAAAAATAGATTGTAAAATCCAGTGAATTTCCTCCCCCATATCTTGGAAGTTTGGGAAGAACTGTAATGAATTCCAAACTGTTTTGAATTAACAAAAAGAGCTTTTTCCTGTCGTAGAGTTCCAGCTGGAACCCTCCTATGCTTTTTCTTCACCAAACAGCAAATGCTCAAAGGGGCAAAGTGTCCAATGGAGTGTCCTGGGGCTTGTCAGCTTTACTGAGCTTTCCACTTGGCTCTGGTTGCTGGGTAGGTTTTGGGAGTTTACATGTGTGGCTGGCATGATGCTGTGGCGCCAGCTGCAAACATGCCCTTGCTGGAGGCAGTTTTATTACTCTTGACGCCACCCATCCAGTCAGTGAGAATACAGGCAGCAAGGGAAACTACTACTCATCACAAATATCGAGGAATAAGGTATGGATTATGGGTACATCTATACTTTAGAGAGTAGCATGAAGGGAGCACAGGTTGTGGCCCCCAGCACAAACATGAGGGTTAGTCACAATCCACTAGCCAGGCAGTGGAGGGCAGGGTTTGTTGCAGACGGGGCACATGGAGGTGACAGAATACCTGGGTTTCAGTCCTAGTTGCATGCTCCCTAATTGTTGTATATTAGGCAAACTGCTTAAGTCTATGACCCTCACTTTTCTTTCTATGAAATGAGAATAAAAATCAGAGCTGTCAGGATCTAATGAGAGAGTGCACATGAAATACTCTTCAAATGTACATAGTACTTTCCTTTGTTTCTAGAGTGCTGCTGTTCTTTTTAGTCTCATTCTTGCCTCAGGCTCAGAAGAGAAAGAAAGAGAGAGGAGAGAAACTTAACAAGAACTGGGTCATCTTCCTCACAACCTCGGTTTGCAAGTTGAGTAAATAGTAGAGATGCTAAGCACCAGGCCAATCTAAGTACCACATCTAATGTTATCAGCAGTTTCCAAGGTTGAAGCTGAGTGACAGTGATCTTACTGTAGCAACTCTAGTTTCCTCAGCAAATACTTGTTGGGTCAAATCAGGTACTTTCATCCAAAAAATCCCCTTTATGTCCTCTGGGGCCTCCCTTTAATCTCCCCCATTCCTTACCACCCTATTCTTGCATTATGTCCATCTCCCCATTCTTCCTTCAGTCTAGGGTTATAGTGACTTCACCAGAACGAAGTGTTCTGTAATTCTAAAGCTAGCCCAGAATGAAGTCAATGGATCCCTGTCAAAAGTGCTCCCCACACCCCAAAATCACTGAAGCTATTTATAGACTCAGAAAAAACTGCAGAGGAGAAAATAATCACTCTTACTGAGATCAGGTAGGATTAGATATCTGTTGACTGGATCAAAACCTCTTACTTATGTGAATGTTTTCCTTTTCTGGAAAATCCAATAGGAAAACAATGAAAACTAACTGAGAAATTATATGATGCACTCTAATAAACCACAAACTGGGATACTGATCTTACCACCTACAGGAGACTGGGATTCTGATCTTCCTGGAATCCAGCATTTGGAATTAGAAGGACCTGAGCAGTTCTTTCTCTGACCTGTGCCCAATCAGCTTCTCTGACTAAAGAACAGAATAAAATTCCTGTGTATTAAATAAATATGGGGTCCAGTTTATTCATTTTTATGCACCGACATTGTAAGTAGACTTCATCTACAAGAGGAAACTTTGATCAAGAGAGGACTTGTCTTTTGTAATATGCTAGTCAGTGGGAAATCTTTTTTTTTCAAGTAAGTCTAAAATTATTTTCTTATTATAGCCACAGGTATAAGATTTTAATAATCTGTGATTGCCTGCTACCTTCAGATTTCATTCACTATTGTGAGGATTCCATGAGATCTGGATATTGGTCACTGTGAAGATGGTGAAAGGCTAAAGAAACACATTTATACAGCATCTACATTTAAATGGCACCATTTTTAATTTTCAAAGTTAAAGCCTGTCTGAAATATCTATTACATTGAACCAAGCTATTCACAGAACTATTTTTTTGGCTATTAATGAAAAACGTAAAGGCCTAACAAATCACTGATTAAATAATCTAGCTTGTGAAACAGGGGCAATAATGGCATTTTTCTAGATGAAACCACACTGTTGTCTCGTGTGCCCATAAAACAACATTGCTAGGGTTCAAAAAGCCCAGAATTATCACGCTTGTTTCTTATCTAGATGTTTCCTTGTTGGAAACAAATCATCTTTGAATGGCTTATTCCAAATGCCTCCCTCGGTATCTGTGGTGGGAATATAAAGTGGGAATTTTATGAAAAACAATCTGGCAATGATGTAACAAAAGACTTAAAAATGCTCATTGCCATTTACCCAGCAATTCCATTTCTGGCCATATGAAATAACAAAATAATCTGAAACATGAACAGAAATTTACACACAAGAATGTTCACTACAGAAAAATTTGGAACACATTTTCAGTAATTTTCTATATTCTTTTCCATAGACTTTTATAATAAATTATAAGCAACCTAAACATAAATAGGGAAATCATTTAGTTTGTCATGGTTCTTTATAAAATGAAATATTTTGGAGTCATTAAAAATGGTAGCATAGGCCTTCCACCATGTGAGGACTCAGTGAGAAGGCACTGGCTGTGAAACAGAAAGGGCTCGCCCCAAGACACAACATTCTTGGTGCCTTGATCTTAGACATTCATTCTCCAATACTTTTGTGCAGCTTCCACAGTTGCAAAAACAACTCAGAGAGATGGTGAGGCCAGAAAAATGAATGCCTTTCATTGCACTTCCACATATGTGAACAAACTATTCCATTTTCAAATATTCTCTGTGATCTTCCAAATTGTTTACCAACTGTTTCAATAACCTTTCCAAAGGGCCAATTGAAAAGGAGCACAAAGTTGGGGAGCAGAAAGTAGTACTAGTTGCTGATATTGTTGTACTTTAACCTCATCCCCACTTACTCCATTCCTTAAAAGAATAATAATTAATAATTTAAAAATAGTACCATATATATATGCTAACACATGCATAGGAAATTTTTGGTAGGGGAAAAAGGGCTTTGTTAATCCAGTTTTATCCTGAGGAAAGAGACCTTTACTTTCCACTTCCGCCTTTCTCTACTCTTTGCATTATCTAATGAGCAAGTATTACTTTTACTTTTAAAAATGAATGAAAACTATTAACAAAGACTATATAATGACATGGGAAAATATTAAGCAAAGAAAGGAATACATACATGGTATATATCGTATGCTTTGGAAAAATCTTAGAAATTTATCAAATGTTAATAATTTTATTTCTATTTTTCACTAAAAATACAAAATGCCTTAAAGTACTGGCTAGTTAAACAATATTAACTAGTCTCCTAATATGGTTTTTCAAAATTTAATCTTTTCCTCTCAGTGAACCTCAAATAATCTGGAGTCTCGTTTTGTTTGCTGAATTAATCATAGCTCCAACAGGATCAAGGGTTAATTTGTTTAAGAAGTAGATTTGGTCAAGATATTAAAACATGTTGGATAATATATTCTTGTTATATTAAACATAACACCAAAAATGTAATTTTTAAATGAGTTACAACTTGACACTGGACTTAGAGCTCCAAAGTTAACAAGTGCCATATTGTTATCTGTTTGTACCCTGGTAAAGGGCAGTATCAGTACAGACTCAAGCCAGACTGCCTGTGTTTATAATCCTGGCTCCACCTTCTGCTAGCTTTGTGACCCTGGGCAAGAGATTGAATCTTTCAGCATTTTGGTTTCCTTGTTTGCAAAAGGGTACTGGCCTTACTGGGTTGTAAGAATTAAATGAATGTGTATGAAGTGCTTAGAACACAATAAGTACTTAATAGGTGTTTGCTATTATTATTATTATTATTACACTATACACCTGATTTCAGAAGCATTCTGCTCTCAAGTAATTGGACAACAAAGGACAATAGAGTGGACTGTGTTCTTTATAATACCCTGCACATTTACACACAGCTTATATCTGTATTTATAGGACCCCCCTCACCACATAGTTTTCACAAACAGAAGATATTATGTACGTACACATAAAAAGCTCACCTGAACTCCATTTTAGTAATGAAAACTTGTCACTAAAAACAGTTTTTATAGAGCAAGATGACAGTAAAACTTTCTTTTATTCAAGTTGGAAACATGTGAGAGGCCAATGAAAGTAGCATTTAGTATAAAACTTGGCTTTTGGAGTTGGTTAGTTAGATCATGCACTTGCAAGGCCAAAAATACAATGAATCGCTAAGTAACTCAATTTATTTCTCTGCTCTGTGTTCTTTGGTTCACATTGCATTATTAATCGCAGCCAACCATGTCACAAAGGTACTTTAAGGGAAGCAATCAGAGGAATATAGAGAGAGTACATAGAGGTCAGTACATGGTATATATATGCCTTGCTTCCTGATATTGGTAAAGCAATTCAAGGAAATATCTTACTGATGGTGGGGCAGGAGCATGATTTGACCAAAAGCACTTAGTAATGCTTTCTATAGGGCAAGTGAGCATCATCTTAAGCAAAGCTATACATGCCTTTACTTAAATGAATATTAGATTAGCCTTCTGGAAAGGAGAGGAAAAAGACAAGGAGAAAGAAAATAAGGAGAAAGAAAAGGAGAAGAGGGAATTTATCTTCCATGTTTGATTTTGACTGGCAAAAATGTTATGAGGGTTAAAAGAAAAGAGCCTGGATTAGCCACAGCCTTCAACCAGCAAATCTATGATAATTTTTCTTGGTATTTTACATGCGTGGTGACACTTTTGGGGCATTATGCCATTGGCATTTTCTGTATGGAAAGTACAGTGAGTAAAGAGAGAAAAGAAACATTGACTAACACTAGGAAAGTAAAAAAAACCTTTCAGCCATTCCACCACCAACCCACCCTCTTTCACAGAAAACCAAAGATGAATCTTACCTCCGCTGAGAATAATGACAGCTATAAATATTGCCAAGTCGCTGTCATCTAATTCCAGTGCATTGAACTTCACAGCAAACTCAAACTTGGGCTCCATAAAGTCACCGAAGGGCTTTCTCAAGCTCTTCAGAAATTCCCTTGTCATGAATCCTTGGCCCTCTGATATGAGAACCCCATCTTTATTCATCAAGGAAGCCAACATCGTGTAAATGATCTCATGGACGCCGTATTTTAGGAGAGTTACTTGGTCATTCAAGTCAAGGTTTACAAAACCAGGAATACTTTTGGCATATTCTGTGATCTCTTGCACAGCTTCCACTGAGCGAAACTGACACCCCTGAAATATGCGGATGGCCACCTCTTTGCTTTGCTCCTGCAAAGGGGTGATGTGTTTGAACTTAATTTTATCTTCTCCCATCATTAAGGAATTCATGTCATAGATAACAAATGGCTGCAAATAAAAAAAAAGAGGAAAAAGTGGCTGAGTTGGAGATTTCTAATTCACAGTAAATAGAATCCCAGTTTCTTTATACACATTTGCTTTAATAGCTAAAATCTTTAAAGAGTCAACACTTAATAATGACAAAGTACTCTTATCTCTTGATTATTCTTCCTAATTGTCTTCTGGGGCTGAAGATATTTTACCAGTTTTGGTCTTCTGTTCCTTCAACTTATCCTGCAACACGGGATAATTTTTGTTGTTTGAGGAATGCTTGTCATTAATTTAAAAAATGATATAAAATCTATTGTTCATCTTGGTTGTCAATAGATTATATTTTTAACCTCTCCCAGTAGAAAATCATTTCAGCAACCCAGGGTTGAACAGACCTACTTAAACATAAAGTAATCTTGCAGTTTGGGATTAAACCTAACTGAGATCTCAAATAGAAACAGTGTGCATATACTTAACTGCAGAAAAATTGGTCTGAAAGCTGATTAGGAATATTGAGCCAAGAAAATGCCTATTTCTTTTTTTAATGCTCTGGAAGCAATCTGTTTCAGTAAGAGCAGATATATAAGGCCTGTAGGTAAGTGCTGCAAAAAGTGGCAAAATATAAAGTGTTTTGAACTTATTTTTCAAAATATCTGTTCTTAAGGGTTAAGTAATCAATGAAACATGTGCATTGGTTACTGAGGTTTGCAACAGGCTGCTTTAAAAGGCAAATTGTGTTAGTCACGAAATGATCTCTCTCTTGCATTTTTTTGTACAGAACTAAACAAAGGTTTGTAGTCATTGTGAAAACACTCAAGGCTACTCTGGTTCAGAAGGGGCAGTACTTTATGTACACTGGATGTACTGAACTATATAAGGAATATAACCCCAATCCTAGTCAAATGAATGTATATATGTGGAAGTACTGGAATAAGAATTGGGGGTACTTGGGTTCTAGCTTTTGTTCTGTGGTTAACTATGTGACTTTAGGAAAGTCATGTATCTTTCTTAGGCCTGAAATATCTCAGTTGAGGGGGTTTTATAAATTGGAGGTTAGCATCTCGTCTCTTTAGGATATTCTAGTTGCATTCCTCTGCAGTGTGTGGTGTGTATGTGTTATGTGTGGTGTGTGATTGGATACATGTGAACATGCATGCACACATCACATGCACATACATTGAACATGGAGTTTCCAATATGCTAAAAATAAGGTTTCTTTTCAGCAGAGATGCTGAGAATTCTCTCCTTATTGGCAAGCAGAAGCAGGTGCCATGAGTGGCAGCAGTAGCCAGTTTCAAGACCCACTGGTTTGGAGATTCTAACTACTAATCTATACAGGTCTATAATTTTCACCAAACTATTAAGTCTGTTCTATGTAACACTAACACTAAGGACTCTCAGATGCTGAGTAAATTTCCAAAATTGTGTATTATTTCAACACCATTCACTGGAGTTATTCCAGAAATTCTAACTTAACTTTTTTAACCAAAAAAATCACTTCACTTATGTTATTTAGCAAAACAAAAAGGAGGATGGATATGAGGACCCAAGAGTAAGTTTGCCTGATGGCTCTAACAAATTCTTCAAGTAAATCAGGAGCAAATAGTGCTTACTATGTTTTTGAACATTTTGCTTCTCCCTCCCCACTTCAGGATTGATATTATTAGTGAGAGAGGAAAAAAGGGCAGAGTGGCTAGTAAGTTACATCAGTGAAAATGTGCTGAGTTTTCCCAGAATGTCAGATTCTAATCATGAGAAAAAGATACTTTTACAGAGTCTAGAGAAAATGTAATTTCCGTCCTCCAGTTTTGCAGTTTATTATAGTTTGTGTTAATAAAATACTAGCTTTCTTTTGCTAGGAGAATCTCACGGTATGGATGCCTGAAAAGTCTACCCCCACATGCATGAGTACAAATTACAACAATATAAAATCATCACCTATTCATATATGGAAACTGTACCTAGAACTACCCACTTCAACTTCTGGTTGAGCTTCTGCTCAACAATTTGGTTTTTTGGCACAGAACATATGCATAAAATTCTTCTACCTCCATGTAAGGAATTTATCTGGAACTGTGCCCTGATAAATCACCCTGTGACTCTTCCCCTTGACTTCCCCTGTCCCCTCATATAAAGCCCCAGGTTCCTGTTTTTGAAATTCTGTGATAGTTGAGCATAGGGCACAAAATCCTGCTAATATTCTCTCCCAATTTAACAACAATGTGACTTTAACCCCTTGGCAATCGATGTTGGTCAGGATTTCCTGGCAGTAAACACTCAAGGACAGAGAAAGGAATCAGCAGCCCCACCGTTATGCCAAACCATTCAGTTTTTTTAAAAAATCCTTTCAGCATTTTGAAAAAGTGATGAACTGACAGAAAATTCTGGGTATTGACATGCAAATGAATTCCAGGTGGATTTTTTTTGTTTTCCCAGTCATATATGATTGTGCTGTTTCCATTGCATTTTGGTCTGCACAGATTCTTTCAGCCTCCATGTGGATCTGTCGAACTGCAAGAGTGATCACTAGATATGATCTACCTTTCTTTGCCACTAATTCTTATCCAACAGATTGCACACAGTTTACTTGTACATTTCACAGTGGGACCTCCCTACCCTGAAAGCTGACCTCTTAAAACTACAGGTGGTACTAGGTCTGTAGAATTTATCTTGAATCATTAGTTTAATATTACACTTCTGGGAAAATATTACATGTTTCTGTATTTTCTACAAAGCAAAGGGAAGCCTTGTATGTTCTATTAGTGTATACAGTATCATCTGATGATCTACCATTATAAGAGGAACCATATCATCTTTAAATCTGACCTTAATGATCTTACACTTCTAGTTTGGGGCTAACAACGTATTTATCTTCAGACATTCTATCACACAACTAGATAAACATCTCTCCTTAATAGGAAAGAATGCTTAATTATGTCTAGGACATTATCAGGGATAGATACAGGTTTTGTGGGGCCTAAAATGTATACAGTTGTTGAGTACATTTACAACAACTCTTGGGTTTGATAATACAAATTATAAGAACAAAATTGTACAGGTTCTTCCCAGAACATTCAAAGGGGCTCTGTGCAAGGGAGGGGCCCTAAAGTTTAAGCTGTATTAGCTTTCTGATGAAGCTGCCTCTGGCCATTATGATGCTGGTACTCCACCTATACTGTATAGACCAGAAAAAGGTGAGGATGAAATGAAGAAAATTGTACTTGAACACAATGTTTTTCCAGAGAAGGAACAGTTCCTGTGAGGAGAAATTACACAAAAGTTTTCTTTGAAAAGATACATCAAATGTACTTTATTTTTATATATTTTGATTAAAAAATGGGTCTACATATCAAAGCCAGGATGGGATTAAGGGTATTGTTTTATATAGATAATTAAATTTAGTTATAAATCTATTGCATGCCTCCTATGCAAAACACAAAAGTCCTGGGGAAAGCTGGCTAATAATGGGGAAACAGAAGAACGGTGTTTGACAGTAGTCCAATAATATTAGCATTTTAATATAGGAGCTATGAAAGGGATTATACATGAACACTCCAAGTTTATACCTTCTTGAATAATAAATTAGCAAGCTGAAGGAGATAAATGAGAAAGTCAACTAATACAACATAGGTTGTTCCAGTCATTTCTACCATTTGGGAGAGTGCAATTAGTGTCGTACACAACTCTACCCTCTCATAAACGATTATTTGGTTATGTAAGAGTTAAAAATGGCCTGGAAAATTGCGTGCCTCATCTGGTGAGGCTGTCTGATATTCTTAGTTTTGTTTTATTTTTATTTTCTGACAAATTAGAGCAAAGGTTAAGGAATGAAATGGAATTCTTAGGGCCCATCTTTTTCATTTTGTTTCCTTCTTTCTCTTTATACTTCTGACTCACTTCAATTCTTTTAGACACACATGGCTCTCCTTGATTAGGTATATTGGGTGAATGTTAATCCAAAATGTGTTGGTTGGGTTTCCTTAACTTGGTTTCTGCCCCTGTTATTCCTATTTTCCTTTTTGTTGAGAACCACAGGATTTATAGAACTAAGGGGGTCTTCAGAAATAACCTACATCATCACTCTCTGGTTAGGTATGAATAAATTAAAGCCAAGAGATGTTCCAAAGTCAAATAGCTATTTACAGCAAATGTGAACTAGAACTAGATCTAGATCTCCTGACTCAGGTTTAGTTCATTCTCTTTCTATACCTTTCTACGTGACTTTCCCATGTTTTCTTTTTGAAGTAAAATGAGTCTTCTGAGAGGAGGTGGGAACTGAAGCTCTTCTATGCTGGGATCTTGGAGGCAGTGCCTTTTGAACTGTCACATCCTAGAGGTGCTAGTTAAGTGCTGTATGTGACTGAAGTTGAGTTTGAAAGTTTTTAAATGTAATTCCATTTTCCCGCATGATTTAGAGATTTAGGACAAATGAAAACCTAATAGGAAGAATTAGTCACACTCTAATGAACTAGCAGATAAACACAACTCTTTAAAAACCATCAACTGCCAGCCAAAACATTACTCAGCTGGCAAACAAGGGTATTGGACAACTGAATCTAATTGTGAAAAAGGAAAAAAAATTCAAGTTCTTTTCTTCTTAACTATATAGAATATTATCTTTTTAATTTATTGTCTGAAATAATACTATTGGTCCAGATATGTTATGTTTTTAGCTATTCCTGACAGTCCTGGCAAATAAAGAAATTTATTTTACTAATATTAATATATGAATTAGTAATCTTGGGAGCCCAAGTTCTTTAGTAACCATTGAAACAAAACAGCACTGCTCTCCTGCTCTTTTTTTATAGTGGGGCTCCATGGTCTCTTTTCTCTACGGATTTGTCTGTTATCTTCCTACTCAGGAGAGAAAATTCAGGCTCACTTAGGCTTTGCCAGAGGTAAAAGAGAAAGGGACAATTTTGTTCAGGATTTAAAAGCACAGATATCTTTCCAATAGTGTGAGTTATTAGATTTGATGGACCCTGTACATTTTAGAATGAGAAAAATTTAAAGACTACAGACTATTTTCACAGAAGTTTACATTTATATATTGGTTTTATTAATCAGTAGTTTCCTGTTTCATATACTACTTAGGAAAACCCTTTCTACAATGGCACTGTTTGCTTTTGTAATTAGAAAAACAGTGGTACTGCATGTACCTATCATAAGCAACATGATGGATGCAAAGTCCAATACAGTACAAATAACAAGTTTTATCTTTACTTGCAGAGAGAGTGCAGCCAGGGCTGCACCATCTCTCAGATATGCAGTGAAAAGTTGGCAGGAGCACCAAGAGTTTTTGTGTTTATTGTTTTATGATAAACCATGGCATTGAAAATGGTTTTGAAAATTACTCTGTTTATTTTCATCAACAAACACGAGATCATGTGACAATGATGCACCCAGTGTGATCATCACATCAGGGCAATGGTCAAACACTGGGAATTTCCAAAGTCCATTCAGTTTTCAAACTGCCTTCAGGAAACACAGCACCCTAGTTCTAGTATATTCACAGTTTCATAGTTCAGTAGGATCTTTTAAAGAAGGGTCCCGGGCTGGAACAAACCACTTAAAGAAAATAGACTGTGGGAGAGTCAGTTCACTCCTATTTTAGGGTGGCTAAGAGGCCCATTGCTCCTAAAATTCTCCCATGGTCCATGTTTGGTGATTCCATATCCCATCTTTCCCTAGCCCTGAGCCTAAAATTCCCAAGCATTATTTTTTTTTAGGCATGAACTGAAATGGACATCATATTCCAATGATATAGTTGTTAAAGTTAAAAAGATCAGAGGGGAGCAGGAACATTTAATTTATCTGTCCATTTATCTGTTTTGAAAGGTGCAGACAGCACTAGGGAATAAGATACAGGAGAAGGAAGTTAAGATGGCAAGGGAGAAGCCCTGGTTGGTCTGCAGGCAAATGCTGGTGCTGGGCATGAGAGGACAGATTAGCAGGCATTCCATAAATGAGATGAATAAGCAATGGTTAAATTAAGCGGTAAGATAAATTTAAAGACTGGCTTCTTCAATAAAGTCATTTCCTTTCCAAAGGTTCTTGGTAACTGGTCATCCACGATACTAAGCAGCCTATCCCAGATTTGGCCTAACTAACACTAATGACATCAGTTCATCGGGGTGTATAATGAGACCCAAACTGCTCTAATGCACCAGCCACAGTCAGTTTTTCACATCCCCACCCTCTCAAGAGTCCATATTTCTGCAAAACTTGTTCAATCAATTCAATCTTAACTTTCATAAGTCTTGGCCAAGAGATAACATAACACCCCTGAGAAAGATGCTATCAAATGAATAACATGACCATGTAAGATAAAAAACAAATCTCTAGTCTCCTTGGAAATCACATTTTAGATTTTTCCCCCCTCTCCCAATCTTCCTCTCTGAACTATTTCTTTCCACCAGTGCTTAATTTGATTTTGCAAGATAAGGAAAAAAGAGAGAGCCAAACAATTCTATTTCAGTTTTGTGTAATCAGTGAATGGATTATTTTAATTTGGCCCAGTCTGTCTTTCCAGACGCTAACAAGAGGCAATTCTGCCTCTGTCCAGATTAATGTTGTCCAGTTTGGTGAGCAAATATTAGGCTAGTTAGAGGACCTCTGTTGAAAGTCCAGAATTTCAAAGGTTTAGGAAATAGTTTTTAATTCAATTAAGCAAATACATCCCAAGTAACTATTATGGGGAAAGCACAGTTATTATAGGGAAAAAAATGACAAGCATTTGGCCTCTGAACTTGAAAAGCCTATAATCAAGCATTTTGCAGCCCTTTCTCTTAAAATAGCTTAATATCTATTTATCTCATAAAGTGCCTGCAATTATCTTATTTTTAACTGAAAGACTGAGAGCCAAAGAATCAATTGGTGTGAGGTTTTAAAGTGATTTACAGTGGATTGGGCTCTGTGCCCTTCAGTAACACAGTGAAGAGTGTGTTGGCCACTGGTGGAGTCAATTTAAATTCTTGACTACTGGGGAAAAACAACAAAAAAATTTTTTTTAACTGCCTCCCTCCTATCTTCCAAGTACAATGAAATCAATAGGCTTTCCAGCATGGATTGCAGGTCTGGATTGAGAGATAAAGAAAAGGTGAGAAAGCAGTTACTGGAAACTAAATGGCCTGAGGGAAAGCTGTGGTATAAACAGTTTGTCTTAGGGCTCTTTCCCAGTTATCACTCCTTCCCCAGTTCTGATGCTCTAACTTCCATTTCCTATCCCATGCTGGCTCTCATCAAGTTGTTGCAATCTGCCCATTGTTAACCTTTTTTAGCCACATCAGTCTAGCTTTCTTTTTATTCCTCTAGCTTTATTTGCAGTCTAGCTTTACTTATTTCCTCTAGCTTTATTTCCAGTCTAGTTTTTTTTTTATTCCTCTCCCTTTAAATGAACACGACTTATTTTCCATAGTCAAATCATCTATGTAGAAGTCTTCATTTACTTTTGCTTTGTTATACCCCAATTTTTTGTCTAATAAATATATAGACTTAGCTTTACCATATGATTTATAGTCTGTAAAAGTCTGCAGAAGACAGTCCTAATCGCCATAATTCTGAAAGAACAAAACAGCACTAGGTAATTTTTCTGACTGTGAATATACTACGATAGTAGAACAGGTTGAAAATTCCTGCTCTTCTAAAAATTGGTAAAAATAAATCATAACTCAGAATGTTTTCCCAAGGTGAAACTTTCCTAGTGTACAGGGCAAGCTGGCTCATTGCTAGCCAGTGGGAAATACTAGCTTCCATGAGGGACTCTCATGCTCAGAGTGTACTGAAGTAGTAGTCAGAGGGCCTGCATTACAGTCTTGGTTCTTCCACATGCTGTGTGATCTCAGGGCAGAATGTTTAACCATCAATTTCCTCATCTTTAAAAAGAGGGTAATAATAGGGGCTATAAGATGGTCATATGCCTTGAACATACAAATTTGTAAGATTTTTTGAAATTGTAAAGAACTGGATACAGGTATAATACTGTTAAGGTATCAAAAACCTTTCTTGCCATCAGAAAGTTCCTTGTACTTCTGGCATTTGGCTCTTTATATAGGAATATACCACAGGAATTTTCTCTTTCTATTAGCTGATTCTATTCTTATGGATTAGCTAAAAGGAAAAATGATATCTTAAGAGCATTAAAGGGTAATCAAACTTTCCAAAAATATATAACCAAGTAAGAAAAAGTTACACACATATGTCAAGTAATTGCATAGCTCACCTAGAGGTGTTCATCTGAAAATAAATGATAGCATAAAAGGTCTATCAAAGGCTGGGGTGGTGTCTTCTGAATGTGTTCTGTGGCTTACTACCCTAAGACATGCTGCAGACATTACAATGAAAGTCAGAGCCTGCCTGTGCAAACTGAGGTACAGAGATGTGTCCCATCTGCAAGCAGACAGCAGAATTGGGACTAGAATTCAGGTATAATTACATTTTGTTTTAATATGATTCCATGTTGCTTTCTCAGCTTCCTATCAGGGAAGAGTTCTACTTTTTTAGAAAACTTGACTCCATAACAATTATAATTATAATTCACTCTGGGTTCTCTAAACAGTGGTAATCAATGAGGTTGCAGATGTCTGAGAATCCACTAGATTCTCTGCTAGAGTAGACTGGGAGGCTCCAAGCCTTACAGAAAATAAAATTCATACATGCATCTAAAAGAATGATGCTTTCAGTTACCCAGGAATTATCAACGGAGTGTTACAGGGAAAGAAAGGTGATATAATATCTGGAATGTATTTTTCTGCCCAATGTGAAACTTCATAAGAGGCATCCCTAGTAGTTCTCTCAAAAGGTAAAATAATGAGACTGAATACCTTTTCCAAATCTGGGCCCAGAAAGCAGGGCTGAGTGAATGAATGAATGTAGCTGTGACAAGTTATTTTCATGGCAAGAAAAGAAATGGATCCTGAAAGAGGGTGGTGGATGAAGGTGGCTTGGCCATTCATTAAAGTTAAGATAACCTGCATATGTTTATATTATTCTTGAAGAATTTACTGTATTTTGCCATGTATAATGTGCACCCATGGTTTGTAATCATTATACTCATGTGTAATGTGCATTCTTATTTTTCCCTCAAAAATTTGAGCAAAAAAGTGCACATTATGCACAGCAAAATACTAGTAGGAGAACTTGACAGACTTTTTCCCTTTTCAAAATAACATTTACTTATCCTATCTGAAGACATTTCCTTTCCTGCACTTCAGACTCAGCCTACAATATGTAACAGCCAACAGCTGAACAGTACTCTGCATGTGTGTGTGTAACATGGTTAATCATTTCCTCAAAGGAAATAACAACAACAACAAAAATAAACCCAGCCGCCCCAAATGAGGATGGTAGAAGAGAACTAACTGATTTATCTGTTGTCTTTCCTGTCAAGATGGCCCTCGCCTTTGCTTTGGTCAGCGGGAAGGACTTTATGTATGAGTCATACAAATGTTTTGCCAGGGCCCGGAGGTCAGCAGATTCTGGGTTCAGCTGGTCAATATCACTGGAGATCTCTGCCAGCAGCTTCTCCTTCTCCGCCTGTGGCATCCGCCCAAACCTGATGGCTATAGAGGAAGAGATATGACAGAATGAATCAATGAAATATTGCCGCTCCTAATGCATACTGTTTTCCATAGCACTGGTAACCATAGACTAAAAGCCCCTTCTCCCTCCACCAATCTCAAGTCCTGGTTTTTCTATCTATGATTTTGCTCATCTTTTTATTTCACAGCAAACAGCCTATCAGTAAAAATTAAATTGTTCATTTCTTTAATTTGAAAAAGTAGCACATGATCTTGCCAGGAAGGTGAAACCAGTTTTTACTCATCCCTGAAGACTTAATTCAAATGTCATCTTAGTGAGGCTTTCTTTGATTTCTTCAAGCAGAGTTTATTATTGCTTCCCCAGTGTTCCAACAGCCCTTCGGCAAACTTCAATGATAGCAATTTCACACTGTACTTTATTTATTTTACATGTCTATTTGTCCTATTCTAGAACAACAGCCTGAAGGCCAGGGGCAATGTCTTATTCATCTCTGCATCCCCAGCATTTGACATAAAGTCAGGTGCTAAAAGGATCAACATATTTCACAAATTAAAGGAAGAAATTGTGCAGAATTCAAAGTTGTACAGACACAGACTTTGTTCTCCGGGAGACTGTACTATCTGTTTTGTCCCTGTTATAGATCTCGATGGTCCTGGCCAGTGTGGCTTAATTGGTTAGAATGCCATCTGTCAACTGAAGGGTTGCAGGTTCAATCCCCTGTCAGAGCACATGCCTGGGCTGTGGGTTTGGTACCCAGTTGGGGCATGTATGAGAGCCCCAAACATCAACTGGTGATGTTTCTCTTTCACATTAATGTTTCTCTGCCTTTGTTTCTCTACCTTCCCCTCTCTCTAAAATAAATAAAATAAAAGTGAAAAAATATGGAAGGTGCTTTCTTTCATATTATTAGGCTGAGAGTACTTTTATATTTAGTGGAGAGAAGCCATAATTATCCCCCTGACTCTCCAGAAGTACAACTTAATGCTGTTTGTCAAAAAGACAACTTCTTTAACATTTGGCTTCCTGTGGGGTAAGGATGAGTGAAAACAGAAGAACACCAAAGAAAGAGAGGCAAAGAGGAGCCATTAAGAGAGATATTTAAGTCCTAGGTTGAGAAAAAAATACCATGTGTTTGAAACTCTTTCAACTTAAATGTGTTTTTCTTCCTCTCTACCAATACTATATGCAAAATATTAATTAATTAATTAACTACTTAGTTAATTTTTAAACCAGTTATCATACCCTGTTCCAGGTGCTTCACATGTTTTATTTAAAGCTTTAACATTTTGAAAAAATTGAGATCATAATTGACACATAACAATATATTAGTTTCAGGTATACAACATGATTTGGTATTTATATATATTGTGAAATAATCACCAGAATAAGTCTAGTTAACATCCATCACCATGTGTAGTTACACACTTTTTTTTGCGATGAGAAACTTTAAGATCTTCTCTCTTAACAACTGTTAAATGTACAATACAGTATTACTAACTACAGTTACCATGCTGCACCTAACATCCCTAGATCTTATTTAGTTCATAACTGGGAAGTTTGTACCTTTTGACCCCCTTCACCCATTCACTGTCCTGCCTCCCTGCCTCTGGTAGCCACCAATTTGTTCTTTGTATTTATGAACTACGTTTTTTGTTGTAGAGGTTTGTATATGTTATTGTTCCACATATAAGTAAAATCATACGGTATTTGTCTTCCTCTGTCTGACTTATTTCACTCGGCATAATGCCCTCAAGTTTTGTCCATATTGTCACAAATAGTACAATTTCCTTTTTTTATATGGCTGCTTTTATTAATAATGCTGCAATGAACATGAGGGTGAAGAGATCTTTTTGAATTGGTTTGTTTTCTTTAGATAAATGCCTAGAAGTGGAGTCGCTGGATGATATGCAAAATATTGTTTTGACTAATGCTACTTTAGGGCCACACTTTGGAGTCTTTGCACTTTCCTATAATAAGGACTGGACTCCTTGTATTTTCCCATAATAAGGACATTTGAACATCATATCCAATATTACCCTGTGCATAGCTCTACTATTACACTTATTATATGGTATCGTTGTGATGTGTTTTTATGACAGTCTCCCTCCCTAGACTATAAGCTCCTTGAGGGCAGAGACTGTTGTATTAATTTATATCTCTAGCACTTATTGGTGGTGCTCAGTCAATGATCATTGAAGATAGGAATGAATAAATGGATGGTACCTTGCTATACGTTATTATGCTAAAGGTAGCATTTCTATCATAGACATAAAAGGACATAAACACATTCCTGAGTACTTAGTGAATTTTATTTTGAACTTGTTAAAAAAAAGAAATTGCGTTGCACCCTTCAGTCTCAAATTCATAAGTTCCTTTCAGTTGACCCTAAGTAAGCTTTGTAACCAACTAATACAACTATTGTATTGTAGGGGTCTCCTTAGGGACCTCTGAGTTAGAAGGGAAGAGATCTTACCTCTCAGTCTTTGGAGAACTTTAAATTAAATTAGCCTGTATCCATTTGGTAAATATACTCTCTGCATATAACCCCTTCAAGTTGCCATATTTTTTGGTCAAAAATCTTGTCTCTCTACTCTTTTCCCCCCATTCTCTTTCTTTTCAGTATCACAGGGAAGGGCAATGAATGGTTGCTGACATTTTTACTGCAGTCTCCCCAACCCTCTGGCATGATCATTCAGTCCCTCAGGATATACCCTCATTTTTTACTGTATTCTCTTGCATAGCATGGACCAAAATAATTATGTAATATTTTCTTTTCTCTCCTGCTATATAATCTCCAAAGAGGCAGGAACCTTGCTCATTATTTTATTCTCAGCACTTAATGAAATGTCTGGCACTTGTTAAATCCTTGTATGTTTTGAAATAAGACAGAAAAAAAAACCCCTACATAGCAGATTCCTTCAAAATCCTCTGTGAAGCCAGTCCAATCACTTGCTTCCTTGTACTGTTTATTCCTTTTCATCAGTAGTTCTCAGTTGAGGATTGGGGAATAGGGGAAAGGCAGAACATATTAGAATCAATTGTTAACTTTTAAAATCATGTATCTTTTATTGGAAATTTTAACATGCCATCCCTATACCCAATGAGAAATGTATCAAAAACTTGGGGTGTGGGATAGTTTAGAAAAAGCTTCCTAAATGATGGACTTCTGTTGTATGAATATATTAGCTTATGTATCAAACTAGTACTATACCACTGTGTATACTACTGCGTGGGCTCATGTTGGTTATTCTACTAGAACATAAACTTTATAAGCACCAGGTTTTCTCATCTTTGCTTCTGGATGCAACAAAATACACATAGTGGGTATATAATAAAAGCTTGATGAATTAAACCCAAATAACAGCTTGATGAATTAAGCTCCAAAATATCAAGTCTGGGAACAGAAAATGAGATATATGTACATTGGGAGGTATGAGAAAGTGATCATGAAAGAAAGCACCCTGTAAAAATCATGGCATATTAAAAGTAGAAGATGCTTTGATTTAAAAGCAAGATGCTTTCTCTTGCTGCTTGTAAGATTCCCTCTTTATCTTTAACCTTTGGCATTTTAATTATGATGTGCCTTGGTGTGGTCCTCTTTGTGTCCATCTTGTTTGGGACTCTGTGCTTCCTGAACTTGTATGTCTATTTCCTTCACCAAATTAGGGAAGTTTTCTTTCATTATTTTTGCAAATAAGTTTTCAATTTCTTGCTCTTCCCCTTCTCTTTCTGGCACCCCTAGGATTTGGTTGTTAGTACCTTTAAAGATGTCCCAGAGGCTCATTAGACTATTCTTGTTTTGTTTTGTTTTTTGGATTCTTTTTTCTTCTTGCAGTTCTGATTGAATGATTTTTTTCTTTCTGTGTTTCAAATTGTTGATTTGATTCTAGGCTTCATCCACTCCACTGCTGGTTCCCTGTAGATTTTTCTCTATTTAACTTAGTGTAACCTTCATTTCTGCTTGGGTCTTTTTTATGCCATTGAAGTACCCCGTGAGTTCCTTGAACATCCTTATAAGCAGTGTTTTGACCTCTGCATTTGATAGGTTGCTTATCTCCATTTCATTTAGTTCTTTTTTCTGGAGTTTTGTTCTGTTCTTTCATTTGGGCCATGTTTGTCTCCTTACTTGGCAGCCTCCCTGTTTTTGTTTCTGTGTATTAAGTAGAGCTGCTCTGACTCCCTGTCTTAGGAGTGTGGCCTACTATAAAAAAAGAGCACCTGTAAATTGTATAGGTCGAACGGAGTCTTAGGTAATCACCAGGGTGGGGTGACCTGTGTCACAGCTCTGTGGCTCTGTTTGGGGGGAGGGCTCAGAGAGGGGACAGTACTGCTGCCTGGCCTCTGGAGTTTTTCCTGGGAGGAAGCTGTCTCCGGGTACTTGCCCTATTGCCAGTCACTTCAATTTCTCCCTGTATGCCACTGGGAAAAAATATTCTCCCTTTCTACTACTGCCTTGGTGTTGAAACCCCAAAGGGGTAGGGCTACATGAGTCCTAAGTCCTTTGTGGGGCCTTTAAGAGGAGTTTCCTGAGAATCCTGAAGTTTCTTCCTTTGTCCCAAACTCCACTGGTTTTTACAGCCAGAAGTTATGGGGACTTACCTTCCTGGCACTGAACCCCTGGGCTGGGTAGTCTGGTCTTGGGCTGGGATCCCTCACTCCCCAGGTATCCCTCCCAACTTTTATCCACCACGTGGATGTGGGACTACCTGTTCTGCATCTCTGCTCCACTCTGTGTCTCTGAGCCTCTCCACCTCTCTGCACTTCTCTGCGTGTCTCCACATCTCTGTCCCTCCTACCCGTCTGGATGAATGTGATTTCTTTAAATATTCTGTTGTTGGACTTACATACAACTTGATTTTCTGAAAATTCTGGATGATATTTGTTTTGTAGTCTAGTTGTCATTTTTGCTATAGTTGCTCAAGGAGGCAAGGCTTATTTCCCTAGACTTCTATTTTGACGGAAGTCAAATCTTACCTTTTGCAACAGCATGGACTGACCTGGAAAGTATTTTGCTAAGTGA